TTAAACAATGATACAGTTGATCCTTCCCTCCTTGTTGAAAGCTGCCTTTCCTTCACTTCTAGAACATCATACTCCCCTGATTTTCCTCCCAATTCAATGATTTCTTATCACTCTCCTTTACTGGTTCCTCTTCAATCCCCCCACCCCTCCCCCACCCCTGGTGTATCTAGAGGGTAAATTACACAAAGGTGAAGATTATGTTCACTGTTACACCCCCAATGCCTAAAAAAGTACCTAGAAGAACCATACTCACTAAATAACTTCTGAATAAATAAGTGAATGAATCAGTGCCCAAGGCTCAGGCGTCTGGATCTCTTCTCTACCAAAATTCACTCACCTGATGATCTCACCTACCTCATAATTTTAAATACTGCAAATAAGCTGAAAACAGCCACATTTCTCACTCTTCCTAGACATCACCCTGAACATCTGGTTTCTCCACAAACATGCTCCACCAATTACCATTCTCCATTTCAGTTACTGGCAACTTTATTCTTCTAGTCACACAGGCCAAAAACCTTGTTCTTTATTCTTCTGTTTTGCTCACATCCCACATCCAATCACCAGCAAATTCTATAGGTCTACCCTCAAAATATATCCAAAATCCAACCCCTTCTCACCATTCACCTTGGTCAGATATACTCTCAACTGAAAAAAGTACAATATAAGCTCCTATTGCCCTTTCATTCATTCATTCATTCATTAAGATGGAGTCTCACTCATACTGTCGCTCAGGCTGGAGTGCAATGATGGAAAGACAACTCACTGTAGCCTTGAACCCCTGGGTTCAAGTGATTCTCCTGCATCAGTCTCCGGAGTAGCTGAGACTATAGGCATGTACTACCATACTAAATTTTTTTATTTTTGCAGAGACGTGGTCTCACTATGTTGCCCAGCCATGCCTCCCAACGTGCTGGGAGACCCATTCACTGCTATGATACCAGCATGTAGAGTATGTGGTACGTAACACGTATTTAATATATACGTGTTAAGTAAGTATAGTATTCACAGTAAAACTTTATTTAAAAGATGTTAGTGAACCAGCTAATTATGGGCTTAAATTGTTCTAAATACATGAATTAATTCATCTGACCAGTTTAAGAGACTAGGTACTGGCCGGGCGCAGTGGCTCACGCCTGTAATCCCAGCACTTTGGGAGGCCAAGGTGGGTGGATCACGAGGTCAACAGATCGAGACCATCCTGGCCAACATGGTAAAACCCCGTCTCTAATAAAATTACAAAAAATTAGCCAGGCGTGGTGGCACATGCCTATAATCCCAGCTAGTTGGGAGGCTGAGACAGGAGAATCACTTGAACCCAGGAGGCAGAGGTTGCAGTGAGCCAAGAATGTGCCACTGCACTCCAGCCTGGGCAACAAGAGCGAAACTCTGTCTCAAAAAAAAAGAGATTAAGTACTACTGTTATTATTTTTATTTTGCAGTGAAGAAATTAAGGCACAGGTTAAGGTTGGGAAATAAACAACACTAAGCATTTTGCCCTACATCATACCATGGCAAAGCCAGGATTTGAACTCAGGCACTCTGACTCCAAAACCCAAACTCTTAATACACTGCAAGACTTGGCAACAGATTTAAATTATATTCCATACAATAAAAATAAAAATAAAATAAATAAGAGGCCAGGCGCAATGGCTCACGCCTGTAATCCCAGCACTTTGGGAGGCCAAGGCAGGCAGGTCACAAGGTCAGGAGTTGAAGACCAACCTGATCAACATGGTGAAACCTTGTCTCTACTCAAAATATAAAAATTAGCCCAGTATGATGGCGTGTGCCTATAATTCCAGCTACTTGGGAGGCTGAGCAGGAGAATCACTTGAATCCAGGAGGCAGGGTTACAGAGAGCCAAGATCTAGCCGTTGCACTCTAGCATGGGCAACAGAGCAAGACTCCATCTTAAAAAAAATAAAAAAGAAATAAGAAAAAAATTATATTCCACATAATCTGTATACTGTTTAATTATATGTCTCTGAAAACTGATAATCAATGTACTGATTCTTAACCAATTCCTTATCTTTCTCCATTAATGTTTCTGATAGAATATGTGTAAAACACACATTTAACAACTCTCATACTACTTCTAAATGTAACCATAGTGTAAAACAGAGCAGCTGTTGCTATGAGAACCTTCACTTTCAAGTTTACAGTATTAATGTTGAATTAACAGACTGGCATACTTATTTATGACGTAGGTAATGAAGGAAAAAAAGAACACCTCAGTAGACTCAACAAGGATATCACAAGCAATGACAAGCAAGTAACTTTTTGTGAAAAATAAAATGTAGGCATATTTTCAGGCACAAGAAATGCTAAATGAAATAGCTTACTTTTACCTTAGACTTTTCCCAAAATTATGTGATTTCATTCCAAGAACAAGAATCACAGCTTACTTCCGGCCATGCAAATGTCGTTTTAAGAGTGCACACAAATTTTACCCAGTATCTTAGTTCACATTTGTCCCAATTGTTTAAGTCTATGTATAATTTAAAAGCCAAAACTAGATATTTTGTTTTCCTTCTAACTAATCCAAAGTCAAAACTATTCACTTTACCAAATGAATTAACTGAATACAGTTAATTAAATCTTTTATTTATAATTGTAAATTGGACCACACATTTCTCACTTAATACCTATTATATCCTGTTTTCCATACCTCTCTACAAGTAGAAGTATTTGCTGGAAGACAATAATCTGCTCATTAAGTAGGCACTTAGAAAAAGCAATGATCTGCAACTACTAAAATTCATATCTGTATATTTATCTTTTGAGTTACAGGAAAGCACTTCTCTGGCTATTTTCCCTAATAACCCGGATAAGTCTTGGGAAAGTCACTGCTTAAATCTCACTTCATGACAGTTTCTCTTCCTCCATAAACGAATTTTTGAGAGCCATGTCTACTTCCATCCATTACATAATACATGTCATCGTGGGACCTGTTTTCTGAACAAGAAATAGCTTAACTGACACTAACCGATAAGTAGGGCTACTGAATACTGTAATCTAACAGGGAGCAGGAATCCAGAAAAGAAGATTCTGATTCACAGTGCTAAGTTGTGAAAGAGTGATGTGAAGAACACTGAACGCTGCTTACTCAGTAACATTTCCATACCAAGTGAGACACATGCCCCCAAAATGTTTTCAAAGCACTTGATTCCAAGAACATTTCTCAGAAATTGAGGGGCCGACTAAAAAAACAAAGTTTCATTTCATTTTTAAAGTGTTTTAATAAAGACTGCAATAAATATAACTGCAAATGAGAAATACAAATCCAACAATTTATGTGTTCAGACTATACGCGGTTCCATGGCAAAATTATTTAAAAAGAAAAAGAAAGAAAAGAAAATCCAACAATTTAGCATTGAATACAAAATGTCTAAAAGTCAAGGTCTACTAAGCAACACGCTGTGAAAGACGGTTGTAGTTTAAAACATTTAAGCATTTCTCCTGTAATTAGCTCCAACAGAACTGTTTAAATTGTTCACTTCATCCACCCAAAGCAGTCAACCACAACCACCTGCAACTATTACTCAGAAATGTGTCTTCCAAAGCAAGCACCTGAGTCTGGGGCCTTCTCGCAAGGGTCCATAAAGCCTGGGTATAAAGAGATCTTTTAGGCACAGGAAAAAACAAACAAACAAACAAACAAAAACTGGGAGACACCACCTTGAAGGAGCTAAGTGTAATGCGACCTATACCTAAATGGTGGGTGCCAGAACGAAGTTGTCTAAATCGAAGATCTCCCTCTTCTTGGGTGTAAAACTTTCAGATCCATCCACGCTTACAATTTACCTGAGCCAAAGCAGGAGGATTGTCTTCCCTCTCCCACCTCGCCTCCCACCCCGCCAGAAGAAAAAGAATCGAACCCTAAAGTGGAAACGTGAGATCTAGTGCAATAGGTTCTCCAACTGCCTCAAAGGCAATACGCAAGGCTCATCTTCCTTTTGAAATACAACACTTCATCTTTTATCTCACCATTTCATCAAAATGAAAAGAATCATCTTCAACATCTTACATCACTCACCTAACCCACAGATCCACCCTGACCGCACCCTAATCTCCTGGCTCCCTAATTTCCCCGTCTCCCCACTACCTCGTCCGCAGTCTGACGACTCCTAAGCCTCCCACCCTTCGCTCCCCGACTGCCCAGAGCCCCTGTCCCCCGCCTCCCACCTCCCGCCCGGGGCTCCCCACATCTACCGCCTCGGCTCCCGCCCAATCCCAGAGCCTGGCTGGGTGGAGCCCGCGGGTGGGCGCCGGTGGTCCGCGGGTCTGGGTGGGGCCCGCTCCTCCTCACCCTCCGGGCTGGCGAGGAGGGGGAGGGGGTCCCGAAGCCTCACCTACAGCTCCGCCCCTCCCCGGGGGCGCGCTGCCCTGCCCTGCCCAGCCCAGCTCGGGCCGTGAGCAAGAAGGCGGGTAGGAAAGGCGAAAGCCTCAGCTACAGGGTGGAAGCTCTGGGTCCCCCGCGACTTCCGCGCTGCCGCCGCTGCGGCCGTCTCACCCTCCTCGAGGCTGCCGCTGCTGCTGCCGCTGCCGCCCGGCCGCCGCCGCCGCTGCCGCCACCACTACCACCGCCGCCGCCGCCGCCGCCGCCGCCACCACAGCCACAGCACTGCCCGGGCGCCCGCGACGTCACTGCGCCCCGCCTCCTGCGCGAGACACCTAGTCCCGCCCTCAGCCCCGCCGCGGGACGCCGCGCGCCTCCCCGGCCTCCTGGGCCGGCTGCCTCGCTTTTTCTCAGCCTCCCGGGAGCGTGACGCGTCGGCCCGGGGACCTCCGGGCGCCTTCCGGGGCACGCGGGTGAGGGGCTGGGAAGCGGGGGAGATTCCGCGCCACGGTGGTGGATCGGCACCGAAACAGAATGATGGGCGCTTAGCGTCCTTGCGTACACACACACACACACACACACACGTACACTCTCACACACGACCCCTGAGGCCAAGGGAGGGGAGAGCCGGGGCCGGCTCCGCGAGCGCAGGGCGGCGTTTGTCTCCTCCAGCTTGCCGTAGGAAGTGGACGCTGGAAGCCCGAGGAGCAGCGTCCTGTCCTCCCAAACCTAAGCGGCGCCCCACCCCCTTCTCGTGGCCCGTTACCCACGCCCGTGGCCGCAAGCGCAGCGGGAGCAGTGCCGGGATCATTCCGGGCTACCGGGTTAACGCTGTGTGCCAAGGAAGCTTTTTTTCCCCTTAGCTTCGCAGAACGTGGCCACGAAGTTAGTGGTCATCTGACCTGAGACGTGCGGGACTGCGCACACGGGCATCGCGGAGGACCCCAGTCCTGGACGTCGTGTTCTGTGGTGATCCGACCAGTACGTGGGGAGCGTGGGCGGAAATTAGTGTCCACGCTCCGACCGTGCACTGTGCCAAACACTGCTTCGGCAGGGGTTTATTTAGCCTCCGACAGCTAGGCGAGGGGGCGGGCAGCTGGGTCCCGGAGTCTGGCAACCCGATTTTCTCGTGCAGACTCGCAGCCGGTTTTTTTGTTTTGTGTGTGTGTGTGTGTGTTTGCAGAGGGTGGCCATAAATGTAAGGATGTAGGTAAGCTATCTCTAAACCAAGAAAGTAAGAATGGTGTGAATTATATTTATTCCCAGGCTTCCTCCAGTGTTTATTAAAATAATTTTCGGTGTCCTTGAGAGGAGTTGAAAGCCATCATTTTGCTCCTACTTACCCCCACCACCATAATTAACCACTTTGTATTGCCTCATAATCCCTCCAACAAATTCCAGTCGCTCCTCAGCGTTCACATTCATTCACTCACCAGTTTCTACTGTTTCATCCTGCCCATACTGTAATTGTTCCCTCCCAGGATCGACTCGCACTTGGATCATTGCAGTTCCTGGGCCTGCTGTCATCTCCCCCTACAGTACTTCCTGCATATGACTACCAACTGTTAGACGATGTGCTGCCAGACCAGCATTTCATTTCTTGGACATCCGGCTAATTACCCAGGAAAAGTCATCCTTTGACTATTTTTCATGACCTTTCTCATCTGACTCGTGGTCCCCCCATCTTGCTGCTCCCTAGCAGTGTGGTAAGGTAAGAGAAAGGTCAACTAGGAGTCAATAGATCTTTATGTTCTCATTCTCCCACTGTCTACTTGTGTGGCTTCGGGCAAATCATTCTACTTCTGGTCTTACTTAACTGTAAAGTGAGGTTTGAAGTAGGTGTCTGAAATACATCGTGTCCTTAACATATGTGGATCTGGAGACTCACGTTACTAAGCACTAAGGTATACACAGAAATACTGTCCTAACACCGATTCAGATTTTTATTTTTTGCCACCACACTGGCAAAAAATATAATTTCCTACCCTGCTCCAGATATCTTTTTTAAAACCTACATTTAGGATTTTTGATTAAAGCTAGCTAACTGAGCACATATATTTACTGCCTCTTCTTCCTGAAACCCAATAAAATGATGATAAATGAAAATGATAAAAGATAGAAAATCAGAAGGGGATCATCAGAAGATAGTTTTTTTTTAAATTGACATGCAAAAAAAGTAAGTGTGGTCTGACAGAATAAAATGGAGAAAACTGTAATGTAGAATGGGTGTAGAGGGTACTGCAGAAATGAAGGGGACATATCAGCCCAGAAGTTCTTTAGGGAAACTGAGATTTGGAGATACCTGCAAGACAGAGCAAGAGTGAGAAGCAGGGTTAGAACAGGTAGACTAAATAAAGGTCTGTATAAGGAAGACCAGAACCCTCCCTATATCTCAGAAACATTATCTAGGCATTTATCCCAGGCTAAAATTAAGCATTCTCATAATCTGGGGAGATTTGGGACAACTGAGTATTGAATGGCCTAAGACTAAAGCATTCTTTATCCTAGCACAGTAACTGGTTTCCTACTCACTCCTACTTCACTTTAAAGTGAAGTTGGGCAAGTTGACAGGAAATTCCTGCTATGGTTTGGATATGGGTTTTGTTTTTTTTTTTGTCTCCACCAAATCTCATGTTGAAATTTTATCCCCAGTGTGATAGTCTTGGGAAGTGGGGCCTGGTAGAAGGTGTTTGGGTCATGGGGGCAGATTCTTCATGAATGACTTGGTGTCATTCTTGTAGTAGTAAGTTTTCACACTTGCAAAACTACATTGGTTATCAGGAAAATGGATTTGTTCCTTTGGTTTGTTGTAAAGCCAGGAATCACCTCAGGTTTGATCTCTCTTTGCATGTGTGCAGACACTTTCCCTTGATCTTCTCCACCATGTTTTGATGCAGCACGAAAGCCCTCACCAGAACTGAGCAGATGCCTGTGCCTTGCTTCTTGTACAGCCTGCAGAATCGTGAGCTAAATAAATGCATTTTCTTTATAAATTACCCAGCCACAGGCATACCTTTATAGCAACATAAAGTAGACTAAGACGCCTCCCAAGGTCACAATACTCCTCATCAGCATTCCAACTGCCTCATCTTATATATGAACAGACAACTAAGAATTATTAGATATTTAAGAGAAGTCTCATCCAAGTCACAGCACCAGAAGAAAAAAAAAAAAAAGAATTCTCCAATGTGGAGTGTCGGGGAGATAAACAGAAACTTCAGAGATTTTAGAAAACCTAACTAGTATGCTAGCATACTCGGATGAAGTATCATCCAAGATTTAAAAGTAGATATTGGCCGGGCACAGTGGCTCATGCCTATAATCCCAGCACTTTAGGAGGCCAAGGTGGGTAGATGACCTGAGGTCAGGAGTTCGAGACCAGCCTGGCCAACATGGCGAAACCCCATCTCTACTAAAAATACCAAAATTTGCCTGGCGTGGTGGCAGATGCCTGTAATCCCAGCTACCCAGGAGGCTGAGGCAGGAGAATTACTGGAACTTGGTGGGGCAGAGGCTGCAGTGAGCTAAGATTGCACTGCCGCACTTCAGCTTGGGCCACAGAGCAAGACTCCATCTCAAAAAAGTAGATCTTGAAATATAAGAAATTGGCCTAATTATACATTTAATTAAAGTATTGAAAGATAAAGTCACTGAACTTCAAAAAGAAAAAAAAAAATTGAAGAAGCCTGGGGAACATAGTGAGACCCCATCTCTATACAAATTTTTAAAACTTAGCCAGGTATAGTGATGTACACCTGTGGTGCTAGCTACTCAGGAGGCTGAGGTGGGAGTATTGCTTGATCCTGGGAGGTCAAGATAGCAGTAAGCCAGGATTGTGGTGCTTCCCCCCAGCCTGGGTGACAGAACAAGAGACCTTATCTCAAAAAGCAAAAGAAAAAAAATAGGGCCAGACACGGTGGCTCTCACCTATAATCCCAACACTTTGGGAGGCCAAGGAAGGCAGATTGTTTGAGCCCAGGAATTCAGGAGCAGACTGGGCAACATGGCAAAACTCTGTCTCTACAAAAAAATACAAAAATTAGCCAAGCATGGTGACTTGTGCCTGTAGTCCCACTTACTCAGGTGGCTGAGTGGGGAGGATGGCTTAAGCTCAGAGGCGGAGGTTGCAGTGAGCCAAAATAATGCCACTGTACTCTAGCCTGGACAGCAGAGCCAGGCCCTGTCTCAGGGATAAAAATAAATAGAATAAATATATAAAGAGTTGGAAATTCTGAGAGAAAATAAGATAGATAAATAATCAGTTCAACCGTGCTATTGTATGAGAAAGAGAAAACAAAGTAAAGGAAGGACAGAAAATTATCCAAAAAAATGCAAAAAAAAATTACCTAGAACTGAAAGCATCGACTAGTACAGAACTAAAACAAAACAAACATACGCCATGTGAAATATTTGAACTCTAAATATAAAGAAGTTCTAAGTTTCCAAAAAGGGAAAAAATGGAGCCCATAAAAGAGCAGAAATCAAACTGGTGGGCCAGGCAAGGTGGCTTACACCTGTAATCCCCGCACTTTGGGAGGGAGATGTGGATGGACCATGAGGTCAGGAGTTTAAGACCAGCCTGTCCAAAGTGGTGAAACCTTGTCTGTACTAAACATACAAAAATTAGCCAGGCATGGTGACGTGTGGTTGTAGTCCCAGCTACTCGGGAGTCTGAGGCAGGAGAATCACTTGAACCCAGGAGGCAGAGGTTGCAGTGAGCTGAGATTGCGCCATTGCACTCTAGCCTGGGCAACAAGAGCAAAACTCCATCTCAAAAAACAAAAATTTAGGAAAAGTTTTTAAAAAAGAGTCACTTAAACATGTACTCAAGCAAAATGAGGGAGAAATCAGGGTATCTGACAACATCCAGTAATCACTAGATTCAATTCAGGAAAACAGTAAAGGGAAGTCCCAAGAACTAAGTTAGACTGGAACAGAAGGATAGGAGTTGTGGGAGAGAAAACTCCCGGAAAAGAGAAAATTTAACAGAATAGTTGGTTACTATGATTTAAAAAAAAAAAAAGAATATGCTGCTTTTAGGGGTTTCAACTTTTACTCCCAACCTATTAACTAATTGTAGATAATCTTGCTATCATTGAAACAGTTTAGGCCAGACACAGTAGGTAGCTTACATCTGTAATCCCAGCGCTTTTGGATGCTAAGACGGAAAAACCATTTGAGGACAGGAGTGACAGAGTACCCCAGGCAACACAGCAAGACCCTGTCTCTACAAAAAATTTTAAAAAATCAGCTGGGCATGGTGGCACACACATGTAGTCCTTAGCTACTTGGGAGGCTAAGATGGGAGGATCCCTCAAGCTCAGGAGTTCAAGGCTGCAGTGCACTATAATGGCACCATCCTCTAGCCAGGGCAACAGAGCATGACCCTGTCCCAAAAATAAAAACAAAAAACAGGCTGGGTGAGGTTGCTCATTCCTGTAACCTCAGCACTTTGGGAAGCTGAGTCAGGAGGATTGCTTGAGCCCAGGAGTTCGAAGCCAACCTAGGCAACAAAGTGAGACACTGTCTCTATTAAAAAAAAAAAAAAAAAAAAAGTGATGCTTGAACAATTGTATTTCACATGCAAAAGAGTGAAGTTAAACCCCTACCTCACATACATAAAAATTAATTCAAAATGAATCAAAGACCTAAATGTAAAGCTAAAACTAAAATACTCATAGAAGAAAATACAGGTATAAATCATGACTTTGGATTAGGCAATAGTTTCTTAGCTGAGACCAAAAGCACAAGTAACAACAGAAAAAAATTAATTGAGGCCAGGTGCAGTGGCTCATCCCTATAATTCCAGCACTTTAGGGGACCCAAGGTAGGAGGATCACTTGAGCCCAGGAGTTTGAGAGACCAGCCTGGGCAACGTAAAGAAATCCCCATGTTTACAAAAAAATTTAAAAGATTAGCTGGGCGTTGAAATGGAAAAAAAGACAAAAAATTAAAAATTGTGAAAACATTGAAAAGGAAAAAATAAAATTAAATTTAAAAAAGATTAGCTGGGCATATTGGCAGGCACCTATTGTCCCAGCCACTTGGGAGGGTAAAACAGAAGTATCCCTCGAGCCCAGGAGATTAAGGCTGTAGTGAACCATGATTGTGCTAGTGTACTCTAGCCTGGGTGACAGACCAGGACCCTTGCTCCAAAAAAATAAATTTAATTGGACTTTATCAAAATATAAAATTTTTGTGTAATTCATCCTTAAAAAGGAAGGAAATTCCGGCATATACTACACTGTGCATTCCACCAAGTAAAATAAGCCAGTCATAAAAGTATAGATATTATATAATTACATTTATATGTGGTACCTACAATAGTCAAATTTATAGAGACAGGGCCAGGCACAGTGGCTGACGAGTGTAATCTTAGCACTTTGGAAGGCTGAGGTGGTTGGATAATCTGAGGTCAGGAATTGAAGACCAGCCTGGCCAACATGGTGAAACCCTGTCTCTACTAACAATACAAAAAAATTAGCTGGGCATGGTGGTGGGTGCCTATAATTCCAGCTACTTGGGAGACTGAGGCAGGAAAATTGCTTGAACCCAGGAGGCAGAGGTTGCAGTGAGCCGAGATTGTGCCACTTCACTCTAGCCTCGGCAAAAGGGCAAAACTTCATCTAAAAAAAAAAAAAAATTCATAGAGACAGAAAAGCATAATGGTGGCTGCCAGAGAATGGGGGAGAGGGAAGAGGGAGTGTTTAATTGGTATAGAGTTTCCGTTTGGGAAAAAGAAACATTTCTGGAGAAGATAAGGGTGATGGCTGCAGATTGTTGTGAATGTACTTAATGCCACAGAAGTATACACTAGAAAAAGATTAAAGGAGTGTACGTTATTTATATTTTACCACATAAATGAATATTTTAAAACTTGTGTGCATCCATTACACTGTTATAAACTGAATTATGTTACTCCAAAATTCATATGTTGAAACCCTAATTCCCAATGTGACTATATTTGTAAACGGGGCCCTAAAGAGGTAATGAAGGTTAAATAAGGCATAAGAATGGTATCTAATCCAGTAGGACTGGTGTCCTTAGAAGAAGAGGAAGAGATACCAGGGACACACATCAGAGAAAAGACCATGTGAGAACGCAAGAAGATGTGACCTGCTGGATGCAGTGGCTCATACCTGTAGTCCCAGCACTTTGGGAGGCCAAGGCAAGTGGATCACCTGAGATCAGGAGTTCAAGACCAGCCTGGCCAACATGATGAAACCCTGCCTCTACTAAAAATACAAAAATTAGCTGGGTGTGTTGGCAGGCTCCTATAATCCCAGCTACTTTGGAGCCTGAGGCAGGAATCATCACTTGAACCTGGGAGGCAGAGGTTGTGGTGAGCCAGGATCCTACCATTGCACTCCAACCTGGGCAATGAGTGAAACTTCCATCTCAAAAACAAAAAAGAAGATGTGGCCATCTGCAAGCTGGGGAGAAAGGCTTCAGGATAATCCAACCTGCTGATACCTTGATCTTGGACTTCCAGCTTCCAGAATTATGGCAAATAAATTTCTGATGTTTACCCAAACTGTATTATTTTTTTTATGACATCCCTAGCAGAATAATGTAGACTTTTATACCAAGAAGTGAAGTGCTGCTTTAATAAATACTTTATAAATGTGGAAGTAACTCAGGAACTGGATAATGGGTGGAGAATGGAAGAGTTTTGAGGTACATGCTAGAAAAAGCCTAGATTCAGCCATGTGCAGCTGCTCACACCTGTAATCCCAGTGCTTTGGAAGGCTGAGGCAGGCAGGTCTCTTGAGATCAGGAGTTTGAGACAAGGCTGGCCAACATGACAAAACCCCATTTCTACTAAAAATACAGAAATTAGCTGGACATGGTGGCACATGCTTGTAACCCCAGGTACTCGGGAGGCTGAGGCAGGAGAATCACTTGAAACTGGGAGGTGGAGGTTGCAGTTAGCCACGATCA